GACGGGCAAACGGCTTATTTCAAATACAGATATTCTTCCTGTTTAACAGCTGTTCAGACTTACGATTTGTCTTTTTTGTACAGTGCTATGAATCTTTATAGAGCCTCAATGTCTTTGTTTTGGACAGTACACCCTGCTTTACAGTACTGTAATTTTTGTTGATGGTACAGTACAGCAGTGTAGTTTTATGCTTTTATACATTACAGTGCTACATGGAAGAGTTATGCACGTAAAAGCAAAGTCATCAAGTCGGGAGTTTTCTTTGAGCATTGTTCTTCTGACATTGTAAAGTCCATACACTAAATGCAATTCCTCATTTAGTGACCAATTCACCTAACAACCTAATAACCGCAGGAACAGAACTGGGTTGTTAAACAGCAGTATCTGTATTCGTAAGAATAATTATGCTTCGATGTGTAAATTTTCACTGCTCATTGAGGAAACGGCACGGCAGCAATGTGCAGCACACGCTAAGCCAGGGGTCTGTGAGCTGCTTCGTTCTGAGTCCAGCCCTGAAGCCTGGCCGCCAAGCCAGAGCCGGGCCGTGACTGGGACCGGGAACTGCAGATGTGGCTCAGGCCACTGGAGGCCCTCAGATCCGGCTGTGAGAATGAGGCTCAAGCAGAGAGAACGTTTTTGTCTCCTCATGGAGCGCCAAGAAAAGAGAGTAATATAAACCAGGAAACATAACTGAGAGCCCGGGAAATCTACCAGCCTGGAGGACGTGATGTGACCCCAGCCCCAGGATGTCACGTGCCAGCAACAGATCCCCCCCAAACCAGCAACACACCAGGAGGGGGTGCCTTTTCCTCTCCTCTCTGCCGCTCCCCCTCTGCAGTTTACCCTGCGGGGAAATTCCATCAATGAGGCGTCCTCAGGACAGGAAGCAGCCACCGCACCTCACACTCCAGGCTGAGGAGAGAGCGGCTGATCAAAGGCCGGCTGTCATTAGGGGAACCCGCAGAGATGAAAGCCTCCACCACTTCAAAGGTGCTGCGGGAGCTGGGGGAACTGGTAGCTGGCAGCTGGCATCTTCACCGCAGCCATACAGGGCCCACAGGCCTGGAACACAGAGCAGCGTCCACTGCACCCACACACACATCATTGACAGCCAAGACAAAAAACGAGGCCCAAGGGCTGACGCTGAAGAAGCTGGCACCTCTGAAACAGCCATGGCCCCAACAGCTCCTCCCCTGCCTGTGGCAGGCTGCAGGTGGGATGCAGTAAGAGGCCTGTCCCCCACTGTCCAACCTGGAACCACATAGGAAAACAGTGGTCTAAGGACAACAGGGTGCTCCTGACCCCACCTCAGCCACACAGGGGGCACCCAGGGACTCGGCACCCGTGGGAGCACTGCAGGCAGCAAAGACCTTACAGTCAAGAGGCCCTCGGCTCGGACCTCCTGCCAAGACCAGCATCTTAGCCACAGTCTGGGCCACACTAGGAATACCTGGAAGTCACGGTTCCCAGCACGGTGGCAAACACGGGGGAAGGTGGCATGGGCATTACAGGTAACAGCGGGTGCCCACAGGTACTACAGGAGCTGATCCATGGGGAGCAGGCACTATCATTCATGTTGTTTCAGAGGTGAAAATGGCTGGACGGGGGAGGGTGGGGGTGTGCGCAGGTCTGGCTCCAGGAACTACACCTTCAACTTCTAGGCCCCTTAGAGGGGCCTAACAGAGGGGACCACTGACCATGGAGGGTGAGTAGGAGTTTGCCAGTGAGCATCCCTGCTCTGGAGACAGAAACACTTAGGACAAGCTGGGGCCGCTCCGGCCCTCACCCACTTCCTATCAGGCTGGCAGCCCTGTATGTAAATCCTGCTGCATGCAGATTTCAGCTATCTCTTCCGGTCAGCCATGACAGAGGGCGGACTGTCAGGAACCAATGCCACCTTCCCAGCTGGACAGGGACGCATTCACTCGCACACGCAGCAGTGTCCATCTGGAATCCCATCCCCGCCCCAACCACTCGGTTTACTTCTGTAGAGACGACTGGAATTCACACCCTGAATCCTCATGCAAAGGACACTGCTCCTGTTCAAGCAGTCAGTCCGGGGGCTTGGCCTCCTGCCCAGACAGGGAATGACCCCCAGGTGCCCTAGTCAGGGTCCTCACGGAGCTGTTACTCAGCCACGTGTTTTCACATAAACTAGGATTCCATTCAGAAACTCCAAATTTTAGAACAAATGCCGTGAATAACAATATCTGCAACCCCAAATCAAACCCAATCCTCTCTGGACTGCGGCATCGCTCACAGGCCCTCTAATTCAGCGGTTCCAAGGACCCAACACAGTGTGTTCTAGCACATGCACAGAGCTGTGCGTGAGCAGCAGGGTCTCCCGCTAAGGCCACTTTCCCCTCCCAAAAAGAAGCGTCAGGGTCACGGGGCCCCTTGGCGGCCGCTCCGTGCTCTCTCCGGGCCTCTCTGCCGGGACATGTGGGACAGTCTGTCCTGCACCCGGGGCTCTCACACACGTGTGCCCCACGAGGTTCACACCACTGGAACGCGTGCTGGTGCCGGTGGCCTCCTATGCGGGCTGCTCTGTGCACAGCGCTGGACATCTGGATTGAGTCTTCCTTTTGGCTACTGCCCGTGTATGAATAATGCTACTGTGGACATTTGTGGTCAAATTGTTCTAGGACATCTTCGATTCCCTCGGCCATGTGCTAGTTGGGAAGAGCTAGGTCAAACGGAGACTCCATGGTGCTCATCCCGAGGAACAATCACAGCAATTTCCAAAGTGCCACCACTGCCTGACCACCGTCGCGACAGACGAGGCTCAAGGCCCACACCCTCACCACCACCACTGGCCACTGCCTGTCCTGGTGGAGCCACTTGGAAAGGGGGTTCTCGAGGGTTTGCTTTTTCCTGGTGATTAATGATGTAGAACCTCATCTCCTATGGCTGTGTGTCTTCTCTGGAGAGATGGCTATCAAATCCTTCCCCCACTTTTACCTGGGTTAGCTAGCTTTATTTGCTGAATTCTAGGAGCTCTTTATATATTCTGCATGCAAGTGCCCTGTGCAGTGTCTGGCTGCACAAAGATCCTCTAGTCCTGTGATGTCTCTGCATTCAAAACCATTAGCTACCCAAGCCCTGGGACTCAAGAACAAAAGGCTCGCTCTAATGTGCCCTGTCTTCCCTGCAGAGCCTGTGACTGCAGGGGTCCTTCCCAAAGCTGTTCTTTCTCTTCCCACCCTGCTCTGGGCAGGCACCTGTGCGCAACAGTGAGGCCCCGGCCACCACACAGCACCTGGGAAGCCAACGTCACGATAATAAGCAACATCAATGTGTACTCCCACCATCTCTGAAGCTCAGGTTGTCTTTCCGAAGCCTTCTGTGAGCGGTTTCACAAAATAAGCGCGATGTCACACTGTTAATGGATGGCAGAACCTCCGTGTGCTCTGCCAACTTCGTTTCTCTACAGCCAGGCTGACAGTGGCTGTTACAATGGTTCCCACACTCACACGCTCTTAAACTGCTGCAGGCTTGACACGCGGCTGATGGGAATCAGACTAATGAAGGAATAAAGCAAAGCTGAAATGGTTTAATTTGGAGCCCACTAGACTACAGTAACTTCTGGCAAACTGAATGCATGAGTGGTTTCTGACATTCTTGCATCTCGACTGCTTCTCGGAGCTCCTTACTCTCCCGGTCTCACTGACCGCTCTCCCTGGGCCCTGCAGGGTCACAGCATCGGCAGCCCCCAGGGAGCCAGGCACGAGCTGTTAGGGAACTGATCATGTTAAAGTATGCTGTGACGCCGCCTCACAGGCTGCATTCTCCTGGTACTTCTTGGCTCCTAAAATGACCTCATGCCCTTATCTCTGGTTTCTCTCCCCACCAAGGCCACAGTGGTCCAGGAAAGTTGAAACCTGTGTCTGCAGGACTGGGCCCATAAAAGCAACCTGGCCTGTGATAGGGTAAAAGTAGCTCACTCCTCATAAATAAGCAATAGCCCACCCCAAACTGATAAAAAGGACCTTCCTTTCTTTGTTCTTCTCTCCTTCTGCTTCTTCTTCCTCCTCTCCCTCTCTC